GAGGCAGACGATGGGAATGGCCTTCAGATGGCCCCTGTCTGCAGGGCCTCTCATTGTGACTGCGCTGTCAGTTCCCGAGGACGGGGTGGTGGCGGCTCCGCTGCGACTGTGGCCCGTCTCCTTTCCTTTCCTTTCCTTTTTATTCTCACGGAGGATATGTCATTATTGATTTTATTTTTTTAAATATGTTTTTACTGATTTTAGCGAGAAATAGGGAAAGAAAGAGAGAAACATCGATGGGCTGCCTCCTGCACGCCCCACACTGGGGATCGAGCCGACAACCCGGGCCTGTGCCCCGACCGGGAATCGAACCCTGACCTCCCGGTTCCTAGGTCGACGCTCACCCGCTGAGCCCCGCCGGCCGGGCAGCACTGCAGTTTTTTATGCTTCCACTCATGGCTTCTTTTTTTTTTCTTTATCTATTGTCGTCTCTTTTCTTTCAGTTCACTTTGTATCTGGATGTAAACGGGGTCTATTGTGGGCACCTCCTGCCTTTCATCCCGTCTCCAAATCCCTCCTCCACTGCGAGCAGTTCCTTTCACCTCGGGTGCAATGGCTGACGCGGCGAGGTCGGCCGCTTTCCTACGTGTTTTCTATTCACCCGTCTTTGTCGCTGTGGTTCTCTGTGCCTACTTTTCCCCTCTTTTGTGTTAGTAAAATACTGTACTATGTCATCTACGTTTCCCTGTAGGCTTTCTATCTGCATAGCTTTGCATTCGGTCTTTAGTGATTCTAGGGGTCACAGTATCCGCCTTTTACTTGGCCCGTTCTGCTTACAGTTAATGTCAGGTCGCTTTCCTAAATTAGGGGCGACTTGAGAGTGTATTTCATGTTGCTACTTTGTACTCAGTGCTGTTCGTTGCATAGATACACTATAGAATAAGGCTATCGCTATTGGAGTAAAACTGTCTCCATATTTTAGTGTTAAACTGCAAGCTTTTAAAGAAAGAAGTCATGTATTTTTTTTTAAGAAAATGTAAAATATTTTATGTTCACTGTTTCCAGAGCTCCTATTTCTTTGGCTTAAGGAACGTTCTCTGGCACTTCTTGTAGTGCAGGGTCTGCGGGTGACAAATTATCACAGTTTGTGGCTTGCAAAACTGTCTTTATTTTACATCCATTTCTGAGGGATCCTTTCTCTAAATGGAGAATTCTCAGTTGGCAGTTCTTTTCTGCCTCCGGGACTTTAATTATGTTGTGCCTAGTTCTTCTGGCTCCCAGTGTCTATGGTAAGAAATCAGGCATTATTCTTACTACTTTTCCCCTGGGTGTCACCTGTCTTTTTTTTTCTTTTTTCTTTAAGGTATAATTGGCACACAAGACTATTTTATTTTCAGGTGCACAACATACTGAGTCGACGTTTCTATACCTTACGAAGTGCTCACCAGGATCAGGCTAGTCACCATATTACATTAATTAGTGTGCTATTATTGACTATATTTCCTAGGCTTTACATTATATCCCTGTGACTTATGTTGAGCCAAAGATTTCATTTGTCTGTATGACTGAGTGATATTCCATTTATATATCATATATATCATCTACATTCATATTGTATTCCACACCTTGGCTACTGTAAGCAATGCTGCAATGAACATGGGGTGCATATGTCTTTTTGAATGAGTGTTTTGGCTTTCTTTGGATAAATGCCCAGAAGTGGAATTACTGGGTTGTACGGCAGTTCCATCTGTAATTTTTTGAGGAACCTCCATAATGATTTCCACAGTGACTGCACCAACGTCCATTCCCACCCACCGTGCACGAGGGTTCCCTTTTCTCCGCATCCTTGTCATTTGTTGTCTCTGTGATGATGGCCATCCTGACAGGTGTGAGATGATGGGTCACTGTGTGATTTGTAGGGGGGCCGTGTATGACGAATCTGATGGTTAGTGACATTGAGCATCTTTTCATGCGTCTGTGGTCCATCTGTATGTCTTCTCTGGAGAAGTGTCTATTTCGGTCCTCTGCCCACTTCTTAGTTGGATTATTGTTGTTTTTTATGTTGAGCCATAGGAGTTCTTTATATATTTTGGATACTAACCCTTGAGTGGATGTATCATTTGCAAATGTCTTCTCCCATTCAGTAGGTTGCCTTTTTGTTTTGTTGATTGTTTCCTTGGCTGGACAAAGCTTTTCAGTTTGACATCGTGCCATTTGTCGAGTTTTGCTTTTGTTGCGCTAGCCCTAGGAGACATCCAAACACAGAATGCTGAAGGTGAAAGTGAGAGTTTACTGCTTAGGTTTTTCTCTAGGAGTTTTGTGGTTTCGGGGGTTACGTGTAAGTCTTTCATTAATTTTGTGTTTATTTCTGTATATGGTGTAAGGTGACCAGCTTCATTTTTTTTGCATGTATCTGTGTCTGTGCCAGTGCCATGCTGTTTTGATTACTGGAGCCTTGTAGTATAGTTTGCAACCAGACAGTGGGAACCCTCCAACTTTGTTCTTCTTTCTCAACATAAATCCATATATGAGTGTGTGTGTGTGTGTGTGTGTGTGTGTGTGTGTAACCTCCACATTTTTCAATATTGGCCAACAATTCCATTTTTCAACACTTTCTGGGCTGAAAGAAACCCCGAGCCCACCCCCACTCCTCTCTGTTCCAGACGTGGCAGGTCCAGAAGGTGGAGCGGCTCCGGCCGCTGTGCAGGGCCCCCAAGTCTGCAGTCCCTGCCTCTCATCTTTCATCATCCCCATCCCTCCCAGCTCAACCATTAATAGGAGAAATCATCAGTTATTTGGACTCAAATTTGACAAATTAAATTGCAGAGAATTAAAGAAGTTGTAGATCAATACGTCGCGACGATCAATTAATTATTCCTCCTCATTAAGACGACTAATTCCTAATACCTTTCCGTTGTATTTTATGGCCTCATTTATAATTCAGCGCTTTTAGGTGATGGCATTGAGTGCAGGCACACAGGTACCTGGGAGTCTATGGCTTATGAATCAGCACCGCGCCGTGCGGAGAGCTCCGTGCAGATAGCTGGTCAGTAGCTGTCGCCTTCTGATGCGGAGGGCTTGTCATTCGGTCTGTTCTGTGGTCCTCATGCCACACGGAGTTCCTTCTTTTGTGAAAAAGAATCGTAAGAAGCAGTAGGTGAGTGCACTCACAAAGCAAGTGGTTTTTCGAAATTATGGGTGTTTTTTAAAAAATATATTTTTCTTGATTTCAGAGAGGAAGGGAGAGGGAGAGAGAGATAGAAACATCCGTGATGAGAATCACTGATCGGCTGCCTCCTGCATGCCCCACACTGGGGGGGGATCAAGCCCACAACCCGGGCATGTGCCCTGACCGGGAATCGAACCGTGTCCTCCTGGTTCATAGATCAACACTCAACCACTGAGCCCCACCGGCCGGGCCAAAGTTATATTTTTAACTTTAATCTTTAACTCTGAAGGGTTTGCACCAGGATGTGTTGCTGATGTGCTAGGGAAGAGCTCTTGAGATTCAGGGATGAAAGGACTTTTGGACAAATGGCTGCCCCTCCTGGCTCCCCTGGAAGACAGTGAAATAGCAGGCGCTTGGCAGTCCGCTGCCTGGACCCATCGTCTGGAAATAAGTACAAATAAACTTTCTCGTTTAACCTACGCAGCTGCCATGCCGGTGGCCAGAGGGGGGCACCCAAGCCCAGAGAGCTGCAGAACTGCCCACCTTGGCAGCTGCCTGGGCCGCCCCGGCTCCAGCGACGATTCTCTACAAATGAGTCCAATTAACTCGACACCTTTTCCAGGGGCACCTGCTACCATCCAGTTGGGGGGAAGAGGAGCTTTTGGTGCCTCTGCAGCAGCCTGCCTGGCAAGAGATGGGCGCACGCGGCTGATGGGGGGGGGGAATCCATACGCTTCTCCACATGCCGCCTATTAATCACACTTAATGGATGTGAGGAGCGTTAGGAGGAGCCAGTGGCTACAGCATCCGCATCTGCATCTGCATCCCACTTCTCCCAGGGCTCCTGCTCCTCCCAGGGCTGCCAGCGCTCGGAGAGGGTGGGGCACAGGATCGCCCAGGGGGCGGGGGTTACGGAGCAGCGATGCATTTGAAGTGGCTTCAGTGGGGGCAGTCTGTGCCGTTACAAGTGGCTGTCAGTCTTCACGCCTGGCTGCCTGGGGAGGGACGTGGGCTGAGGGGAGAAGCTGAAACTGTGACAAGGGCTGGAGCAGGAAGCAGGCAGCCAGGCCTCTCCCGGGTGATGGCGCGGAAACGGGCGGACGGGCCCTTCACCGGGGGAGGCGGTGGCGTCGGTCTAAGCGCGAGGCGAGGTGGCCAGGAGGCCCGTCCCCCAGGCAGGGCACAGGTGTCTCACGGGCTTGGGGGGACCCAGGACCGTGCACTGAGCTGCAGTCATAAATGCACCTCGAGGACAATCCTGGGAGAACCCTGGCACAGTCTAAGGTCGCGCTCCCCGCCGGGACCCCACCGCAGACCATGGCACAGGCGGAAACGGCAGGTCACGGGGACAGGAGGCCTCGGAATACAACTCCCGGCTCGGCCGGAGGCTCCAGGGCTGCTGGCAGTTCACTGCTTTTGGCAACGGATCGGGTTTGTTCCTGGGCGGTCCAAGCCGGCGGTCCCCGCTCAGCGACCTCAGCGGGCAGCTGGGTGATGGGATGGAATGCAGTGGACAAGGTGGGACAGGACCAGACCAGGAAGCGAATACTCGCCCCAGGCTTTCTCTTTGTCAGGATCCAGGACTAACACGGTTAGACCTTCCAGTTTCCAGGAAAAAGAGACGTGTGTGCACTAGTTCCTTCGGTCGCCCTAACAAGTGACCACAAATGTATCCGTCTGCAGTCCTGGAGCTCAGCGTCTGGGATGGGTCCGCAGGGCTGCCTTCCCGAGGCTCCGGGGCAGCATCTGTTTCCTGGCCTTTTCCAGCTTCACGTGGCGAACACGTTCCTCCATCTTCAAAGTCAACAGCATGGTTCCTTCTCCCCTCTGACCTCCGGCGTCTCCCTGGCTAGGACCCTGTGATCACACTGGATCCACGAGACAGTCCAAGATGACCACCCCCTTCCACATCCTCAGCAGCACAGCCAAGACCCAGGCCCCGAGGAGGGCCCGGGAGGAAGTGGTGAGCCTGCTGCGGGCCTGGAGAAAGGGACATAAACGAGCAGGAATCCAAGGAAGTGCGGAGGAGGGAGGGGACGTGAGGAGTCAGATAAAACAACGCCAGCAAACCCTCACCTGGCTCAGGATGTGCCAGGCCCCTCGCAGGTGCTGCCCACAAATCAGTCCGCTTGCTCCTCCCAGGTGGCATCACTACCATCCCATTTTACAGGTGAGGAGACTGAGGCTAGAGGGGCTAGGAAATGTGCCCAGCTCACAGAGCCCATGCAAAGCACCCAGGAACTTCATTGGTTTATACTCCCACCACATCACAATTCTGCCAAATCTGTACACTGTCTTAATAGTTAACATTTAAATGAGCTCATTCTTGTCTAGAGAAATGTAAAACAAATCTCACTATAGTCTTTGGAAATGCAGTATGGCTAGAAAATAAATACAAAAAAAATAAATGATGTTATTAAACCCTCTGTGGATTCCACGTCCTGCTGAGGGCTTTGAATTCAAGGGGAGAGTAGCAAATGTTAGGAATTCAAGACATAGTAGCATCAAGCTGGGCCTTTCTCAGTGCTGGAATCAAAGGACTGAAAGAGAAGTAAAAAGGGAGCAACTTTCTCCCCCTGGGACAGGAAACCATTTAAAGACGTAGCCCTGCAGGCCCTAAAGTCTCACTCAGGAAACGGGTGGTTAGGAGCAGACTCGGGCGACTCCCCCGACCGCGGAGACGCCGGTGCTGGACGTGAAGCGGCCCTTCCACTTCACCCCTTTCCGCCTCTCCAGCCCTGGGTGCGGGGCCTCGGTTCCCTCACGGGGACCTGGACTATCAGTGAAAGAATGAAGGGAAAGCACACAGCCTAACACACAGTAAATGATTAATAAACGCAAGCCATCATCATCATCATCATTAAGCTTTCACACAAGTCCCTGGCCTTTTTAAAACTTTTTTGTTTTAGGTAATGAGAATAGTCATTATAGTAAATACGTAGCAGTTACTATATGCCGGTCTGTCTTTTAGGTTTTATATGTGTACCCTATATATATGGTGTCCCCCAAAATGTATACACACTTTAAATAATTCCAATGGGTTAAACCTGAAAAGAAACTTAAATTGAGCTATCAAGGGAAAGTGTGTATACATTTTTTGGGAACACGGGTATATGCACATATGTTAAGAACTATTATTATCCCTATTTAAACTAATATGAAAATGTATTCTGATCCCTAGGGCCCCATAGGTGACGTATTAGCCCTAAGGGACCGCAGACTCGGCCTACGAGACGTTCCTGGCGGCCTCCTCTGCCCCTTTCATGGGGCAGATCCCAGGACAGCGACCGCGAGACCGCCTTGCAGACAGACTGACAGACAAGGCGGCAGCCCGGCCTCCCCGCCCGGCCCCGCCCTC